TGCCGTTATGCAAGTAACACAGAACGACAACCACCCAAGCAGTTACTTAAGCAATGCAACAGTGCACACATGCACATAAATGTTCTCCATTCACTTAGGACACCAAGAGCACTAAAAGCAAGCAAAATGCTTCTCAAGGACGTTTCTCCTTGGATTAAATCAGCAGTTCTTCGACTGTGCCTCTGTTATGCGGGGGGTTAAAGGTAAAGTCAGTCGTGCTAATCCAAATGCTTATTTTTACAAATTCAGCAAATAGTTTTTCATGGTCCATAAGCTGTCTGTTCTGTGTGCACACTAAAATAACAGGGATAGTTTTTGCACAAATTCCTCTACAAATGGGAGAAATAACATCTCACTCACAGACCTCATAGCTTTAGTCACAGCTTTGTGTTCCATCTAACTAATAACAGGGATCCTTCATGCTCAGAATACTTCTATCAATCCCTTTTCCACTTGTTTGACCAGTCCCTTCTTACCAGTTTTTCCTTGAAGGATTTTGTCCAAATTCTTCTTGTATTTGATCTGTGTTGCTTCTTTCTCTGTCATTATTATTTGTTCTTTCAGCCGGCCTTTGTGTCCTCTTGTATGAACAGACACTCTTAATGTAAGAGCAGACTCAAATATAGCACTTTTCATGGAAAAGCTCAAGGAAGAACAATGAGCCCAACCAGAAGAAACGTTCCTTTACAACAGTGTTGATTTTGAGAATTGTTTCACGTATGCTTTTCTGCATGTTTCCAGTAACCCCCAAGCTAGGGCTAATATGAGGCTGAAAGTATAAACCTTGAGCCAGTCTCTCCACTTGGTCTGCTAACTTCAGACAGTTGTTTACTTGGCAGAGCATTGAATCTGGCAGTTACCCGTCTGATCCTGCCCACCAAGATTTCCTGGAGCCACTCTTTCATAATCCCCTGGGTTATGAAGGGGAGTAGAAGCCTCTCCTGCTTCTAAATGTGCTGGGCCAGCCAATGCTTTTCCTGTCCTTGAGTTTTTTGCCAGTCCATTTGACCCTTCTCATTTACAAATTAACTAGCAACTATTTCTGCATATGTGTCGGCTGAGGTTTTCCCTGTTCTCAGTCGCAGGCAGTCAATATCTGCTGTGTCACGGTGTTTGCTTCTGAGGAAAAAGTCCCCTTGCAGTCTGCCTGTGGATCATCAGTGCAGTACCTAAATCAATCTAACAGCTAACTCTCACTAATACTTCATGCTGTGCTTGAGTTCTTTTCTGTTGCTTGTTTGACAACATTATATAAGATGCGTTTTTTTGGTTCAGCAATGAGAAAGAGACATCCATTTGCCATCTAAGACTGGAACATTCCTCTTTGTTCACCTGCACCTTGTCATGGTCCTGGGCCACGTTGGCCCAGTATTCTTGGTTTTCGTGTGTTTTGTATTTTGTTCTTTATTTATGCCATGGTTCCTAGGTTCTGTTAAGATGTTCCTTATTTGATTACCCTCTGTGTATCTGTGAGCCCTCGTTTCCCCTCCTTGTGTTTTATTCCATGTTTTCCCCAGCCCGTTATGTCTGTGCTCTCCCCGTGCTCTCTCTCCTCCTGTCTGAACCTCTGTGTACTTCCTGTTTTACTTTGACAGTCTCCCGTCAGTGTTGCGTTTACTCCTGCCCTGTCTTGTTATGATTATCAGTGTCACCTGTGTTCCCCGTGTGCTCCCACTTCCCTCGTTAACCCTCTGTGTATTTATGTCTGCGTCTCCCTCAGTTCTGTGTCGCGTTCTCCCTCATTCATGGCTGTGTGTTTCTCTGTGCAATATGTTATAGTTTCCAGTTTAGTTTGTATGGTTTTTCTGTCCAGCAATAAAGCTGTGTTTTGAGTTCAATCCTGCCTCCGTGAGCTTGCATTTGGGTCCTCATCCTGCCTGCACACAGCCGCAACCATGACACACCTAGAGGTTAAAGTGGGACGGAACGATCCAGAAAAGCATTCCTGCGCCTTCAGTTAATGAGTAATTACATCTGATGGGCTTCATGTCCTGCAGCTATTGCCACCGAGGCAGTTAAGTCACCCAAGGGACCTGCGTACATTTCCTGCAACATTTCAAATAGCTCAACAAATATGAGCAGTTTGGCACACAGTGTGTCTCCTAGTTAAAGGTATAGTTGTTGTATTTTCCAGGCCAAAAAAAAATGATAATGTGTGTTATTTTACTCTTCGAGAAGGGGAAAGATGTAATAATGAAAGGGCTAGACATGAAGATGAGAGACTATTGTCAGTGCACAGCAGAGCACAGCAGGCTAAACTGGGTGATTTGTAGTATTGTTTACAGTTTTCAGTGATGGACTAGATGCAGTGGTGCAGGGCAGAGTGCAGTCTCCATGGTCACCATTAGGTAAGGTCATGGGTTGCAGTAAAGACATTATAAAAGACAGAAATTACACTACATTTATATGAGAATTTTTCAACTGCACAGATGGTGGCAGATACACCTTCCAGAGGAAAACAGCTTTTAAACCCATATTTGTGAGATAAGTTGGCAAATTCTGAACAAATATTCTGCGCATGCAGTTTTTCTTTTATGTTTAATGTTAATCAAAAACTAATCTAGATAATCTTTCAAAATAAGTGTGTTTAAGTATGGCTGCAGGAATCGCTTCTAGGTGCCCTTTTGAAAGAGTCATTGATTTAAATTTAAACCAATAATGCTCTTTAGCCGCACTTGCCAAATGCTACTTTTATGCTGCCTTTATACAGGCTAGAAACTGGAAAGTAGCCCTGATGGTTGATGGTTGATTTAACATATGTATTGAAGAACTTAGCTGGCAAAATCTACAAAGAGCGTCAAGCCTGAGAAACAGACTTATTTGTTATGGAGTCATTTCCCTCCAGTGCACTGGTACACAAGTACACCTGCAAAATCCCACTTTAACCTCCAACTACACAGAACCTACACAGACATGGGTTACTCTGCCTTTACTTTAACACAAGCATTAACACCAAAAAACAAACACAGTATATATTATATTATATTTATGTCTTTCCTCTCCGCTATCTTCTTCTGTGCCTCTAAATCTGTCTCACTTTGCCCAAACCTGTTTGCCTTACTGTATGTTCTCCACTCTGAGCAGCTGTTTTATCCTCCACAACTCCCTGCAGAATTTTCATACTGTACTGAGGCAGTGAATGGGCTGACCTGTCCCTGCGTTGAATACTAAACAGCATGTCATTCGTGCTCTTTGTTTTACTTGCGTGAGAATGACAAAGACGTCTGACAGACGCAGATGACAAATGGCAGACGGCAACTTGAAAACACTGAGCTCCGAAATGGCTTGTCAGCAGCTGTTAGTGAATCAATCACACAGTGTGAATAAAACTAAAAGCACTTTTAAAATTTCACTTTCTACTGATTTGAGCAAATAGCAAGTTTTGGTTGTTTGCTTACATTATCTTTGATGTGCACTCACCAGCCTCTTTCTTAGGTACACTTGATCAACTCAATAAACGAAATATCTTATCAGCTCATCACATAGCAGCAACTCAGTGAATATAGGCATATCAATATTTGAGTATCAGAAAAGTGATTTAAGTGACTTTGAACGTGGCATAGCTGTAGGTACTAAACCACTCATCTACTGGGATTTTCCCACGCAACCATCTCTAAAGTTTAAAGAGGAGGGTCTGAAAAAGAAAAATATCAAGTGAGTGGCAGTACTCTGGAACTCTGCATTGAATTGATAGACAGGCACCAGTAACTCAAATAACAACCAAGTTATAACCAGGACATGCAGAGGAGCATCTCTGGAGACACAACACAACACAACAAGCAGTGAAGCCGTGGGCTATAGCAGCAGAAGATCATACCAGGTGCCACTCCTCTCAGCACTGAACAAGAAACTGAGGCTATAGTTTGCACAATCTCACCAAAATTGTACAACAGAAAATTGGAAACATGTTGAATTCTCATTTTCTGCTGCAGCATTCAGATGTTAGGGGCACAATTTGGTGTCAACAACATGAAACCATGGATCCATCCTGCTTGTTTTAGTGCTTCAGGTGATGGTCGTTTAATGGTGCACGAGATATTTTCTTGGCAAACTTTAGGCTCCATCATTTAAATGCCACAACCTACCTGAGTATTGCTCTTGATAGTGAGCATCCTTCTATGACCACAGTGTACCCATCTTCTGATGGCTGCTTCCAGTAGAATAACAAACCATGTCATAAAGCTCAAATCATCTCAAACTAGTTTCTTGAACATAACAGTTAGTTCCCTGTATAGAAATGTTCTCCACAGTCACCAGATCTAAATCCAGTAGAGCACCTTTGGGATGTGGTGGAACAGGATATTCACATCATGGATGAAGAGCCAATAATACTGCAGCAACTGTGTGATGCTGCCATGTAAACATGAACCAAAATCTCTGAGGAATGTTTCCAACACCTTGTTGAATCTATGCCACGAAGAATTAAGGCAGCTCTAAAGGCAAAAGGAGGTCCAGCCCAGTACTAGTGAGGTCTACCTTATAAAGTATCCAGTGAATGTGCATAGAATACAGTAGCATCAGCTAGTGTTGTGTGTAGGCTCTTCATATAAATAATTAGTAAGCAGCAGTCAACATGCAATCCATTCATTCATGCAATATAGCTTTGGATGTGAAGAAAATATATATGCTTAAGACTGGATTAAGGCTAAGAGGAAGCCTTTAGTTTGAACCATGTAATGCTATGTTAATTTGCCCTCTTTGATAGTTTGAAAATGTATTTCTATCTTTAACAGCTTAATAATTTATTCTATAAATGAAGTTTATGACTAATGAGTCATGTGTTTAATAACAGTGAGTTTATAGAAGACACTTCTAAAAGCCAGACTGTAGTTAACCTAAATTTTCATCAAGAATTTAGTGCGTTTTTTCATGTCCCCTCGTGCTGCAGTATAAAAAAAATGCTAAATGCTCAGCTATCAGATACATATTAGTGGGAGACTCTGAAATTACCTGTACAACATTTCATCAGTGAATGTATCTAGAAAAAGAAATAGACTAACCTCCATGAACATAGTCATGTAGTGTACAGTCTGAAGGGCCCACCAGATGAATCAGAGTCGACTGGCTAAAGCCAACAGTGTGCTTTTCTGCAAGGCAAACAGACAAACACACATTCAACAGAAAAATTAAAAAATAATAAACAATTTAAGGTAGAGCTTGACGAACAGGGCCAGCGTATCATTCGATATAAGCCATTTACCAATATATTGGTGCTGATATGTATAACCAGCAGTGACAAATTAAGATTTGAAAAAGAAAAGAAAAGGGAGGGATGGGAGAAACACCCTTCGGACATGTTATGTGGAGTGGTTTTGCAGAGTTTGTCCACCAGAGGGCACTCTTGCAACTTCCCTGTTGGCAAGGCACTTAGCAAAGGCAACAACCAGCTGATCCAATCAGAGCTAAGAAGAGCATAAGCAACTAATACACAATTTTACTGTTATATTGTGTTAATAATGACTCAAAAACAAGTGCACATAATAAATAAACAGGGAAATATGTTTGTTTTGTGTTTCTGAAAGAAACAAATCTGTCTATCTGTATCAGTCTTAAAATCTGTCTATATCGGTCAGCCTAAAAAAAAATTGAATTCATTTAAAAATAAAATGTGTGAGTAAAGCAAGCCAATGCCAACAACACCTTCATGCATAAATAGATTCTGCCATGCTACTTGCTGATCACTTTTGGTGGATCCTCTGATGAAGCAGCGTGACAAAATTAGGGAATTTGATTAGAGTCTTTACAGTTTTAATATGGATGAATACATGTATATAGCACCTAATGATGAATACAATACTTTTAATGCACACCTGTAAATGTAGAGCACATAACCACTCAATCCTACAACATGTAAACAAGAAGCAGAGGCCTATAGAAAATACTACAAAAGAAGAAACATAAAAGTAGAAGAAGAAAATAAAACAGATGTCTTTGCCTGGACATTTAGTGAGAGTGTTGCTGAAACTGGTGAGATCAGAGTGTGAATGTTAGATTGAAAGCACTTAAACGGAGAAATAATTGTTGGTATGAATGGGTGAATGAGCCATGTTGTGTGAAGCACTTTAAGTCATCAAGTGGAGTAAAAAAGCGAAATATAAGAACCAGCCAATTTGCCATTCGTGTGTGAAGACAGTCAAAGTAAAACACATACTTTAGTGGCTCTGAAAAAAATCGGTTTAGGAGGTGTTTTTAAAGCTAACTCAAGAGGGTATCACCCCCTGCCAGAGAAAGAAAGCCTCAGAAATGAGAAAAGAAGTGCCCACGCAGCAGTGTTTCCAAATGGATCCATTTCTGGGTTCTTCAAGTGCTCTTGTGAGGATGCTAGGGCCCACGTGTTTACATGTTAAATGTTTAAATGTATTCCTGTGGACGCGCTCTGAGAGCACTCCAGGGATTCTTCACTTGCTTGATTTATCATTGTTTTATCTTGATATTCTGCAATAATATCTCTGTGTTTTAACTTTGAAAAAAGCATTTGCTTTTGACTTCCTGCTGCGGCTCAGCATGAATTCATGGTGCCAGCAGTGAAAATACATCAAAGAACAAATTGCTTCTCCCGTCACTGCATTAATTGGGCAACAACAAAGATGACTGTACAGTATTTTTAGTATTTTTATGGCATACTATTAGCAAACCCCATGAGGGAGGAAATGGAAGAAATTTCACTCATATCTGCATCATCACTGAAAACTTGTAAGATAGGGAAACGACTTCTATAGCTGTGGTTTTGTATCTGCAAACTGATATGGGACCCTGAGCTTGAATATATTACCTGGGTTGGGTGGAGATGGCATCACCTCTTCAGGCCTCGCCTTGGTCTCCAGTCTCTCCATCTTCTGAGCCTCATAGCGCTTCCTGCCCTCTTCCTCTTGTTCAGCACTAGCATACTGTAGAAAGAATATATTCAACATGCTGAACACTTGTGCATAGATCCACTCGAACACCACTCTCTGCACAAATGCACGAGGAGTAAAGCAAAGAATTGAAACAAGCAGGTATTCAAAACAAAGATGAGCGAAAGGGACTTTTCACATTGTTAAATGTCAGTCATTTCTATCTTGACCATATAGCCTTGCTCGTGTCATTTTAGATGTGGGGCTGGGGGAAGGTGGGTGGAAAGGTCACTGAGACACAGAGAAGCTAAAGGATAAAATGCCACAATTTTAAGATGCAAGCAATTTGAGTTTCCATGTACCTTGATGGGTGGCACCTCCATGATCTTGTCAACATTTTGCAGAGAGCAGGGGACGTACCACAGCGCTGCCTTGTTGGCCAGCTTTTTGGCACCTGCAGTCACAGAGAAAAGGTTGAGTACTTGTCCTAGGGAAAATGTCAGGGAACGCGTCATTTCTACCAAATGAAGAGGCAATGTTTTTGTGACCATAATCTAATTGGCGAGAAATTTTGACATCTTGATGTCTTTCAAATAAAACAACAATGGAGCAAAGAATTTTGAAACGGCTGTTGTCAAAACAGACACTTTTATTAATACCACAATAAAGGCCACTTCAGTTTTTAACAAGTCAATTGGCGCTGCCTGTTTGCAAAAGATTCGTCTTTCTTGTGAAAAGAAAAGGAGAAGAAAACACTTTGTGTTCAAACACAATAGTTGTTGCCTGTTCAGAAAACAAGTACTCACAGTCACGTAGCTAGCTAAGCCCGGCGTATCTGTAAATCCTGAATTTTGTGCATTTCAGTGTTGTAATTATGAAACCAATGAAACCATGGCAACTCATGCATCATCAAGTGTCTGCACAAATATGTATGTTGGTTATACCACTGTGTAATGCTTTGGCAGTTGGAGGCTGTAGCACTGACTCTGAATTCCTACAGAAAATTCGGAACGAGATGATCAGAAAATAAAACTCATATAAGTCACATTACATCGCAATCAGCCAGAAAGGTTGTCATAGTGATATATCTGTTCTACTCTGCCCACACTTTTTCACTTAATTTGCTAACACAGAGAGAGAGAGGGGCTATTTTAGGTTGGCGTTATGGCGTTGTGGCACGCAGATTAAAGGCAGCATCGGGGCAGCAGGTTGAAGTGAAATGACTGTTTTAAAGGGTTTTTTTACCTACAATATCCAATTAACTTTTTCAGCTTTCGAGCTTTGAAGTCCTTTTTGAGGCCTGAATGAGCAAAATGTTTTATTGAACGTCTTGCATTTTTATTACGATAACTTGAGTCAAATTTCATAAATGTGCATGACCACAGGCTTAAAAATAAGGCATCTTTACAGCCTTAGAGAAAATATGTCATTTAATATGTGTCTCAGCAGTGAACCAGCTGGGCTCTTTGCATGAGGACATGTGAAGTTAAGAGAAGAGAGCTGAGCGAGCAGCTTTTAACAGGCTACTCCTGGGAAAATAGCATTTGCATTTTACACCCGAGTTAAAAACTGTGCAGACAGCCAGGCCTCGTTGCCATGCCAACCATGCTTCTTTCCTCCTCCTCTCATTTGTGCCCGCATTTGTCAGCAACCAGGAAGTTGCCCACAGGAAAAAGGGAGGGATATTTACATATCCTTGACTCTACCCAAGACTGAGTGACTCTACTCTATTATTAGCTACTGATGGACCTTGAAGTGAACTGTGTTTAGGGTGGAGGGAGAATCGAGAGAGAAGCGAGAAGGAGAAAGGATGGAAGAACCATTCCCAGTACGACTGATGCCCTTTTTGATCGAAAAGGAACCAGATAACCGGCTTTGAATTTAAAATCCCTCTACATCAAATGGAGACAATGTCAATGTTTGACCATATCCTCGTCCAGGCTGCAACCTTTTATCCTTCACAGTTCATCCACTGAAACAGCACATATTCTTTTGCATCACGCTTGCAGGCATAGCACATTTTGAAGGCAAGACAAATTTGAGGCAGACCTTGAAAATACAACAGTTTCACAATGTGCCCCTTAGGGCTAATTATTAGACCTTAAGATAACTCTGCATGCTTTTCTCAGGGACACAAAGTACACATATGATCCCATGCAGTGAAAGTTGTTTATTTTCACTGTTTCTTCAAGATTTTTATGTGCAGTATCAGAAGAAGCAGTCTATGTTCTGCCAAAAACAAAAATAAATTATGCAAAATCTAAAATATACCCTCAGCGCAATTAGAAAGCATTTAGATAACTTTCATTTAGCATATGTTGTGTATAACGGGGACATAGGTTAGCATTCACTTCACACCAGGAAATGTATGAGTTTGAGCCTTGCTGCTGTTTTTTTACTGTGTTTGGTGATTTTCTTTGCACCCCAGTTTGCTCCCACAGTCCAAAGTACTGCATGTTAGATTAAACGTTGATATGTGTACTGTAGGTACAGATATGAGTAAGCTAAAACTTTATGTCATCTGTGAGACTGGAAAAGTGCAGCGCACATGTCAGTTTAGTCCTAAAAGTAGCAATTTATGTAATATAAATCAGTAGGTTTCCTCATATGTAATATGGCCCTCTTGTTAAAGGTATATTTTTTTTCTGTCACAACATCAAGGAATAAATAGTGCCCTTAAGTTTAAGACTGATCTTTGTAGGCAGGCACCAATCACTACCCACTGTCAAGGGTACAACCGTAGATGACACAGCCCCACTGACGAGCTGAAGCAGCCTTTAAGTTGCTTTTTGAGGTCAGTATCGTCTGACTGTCTTCATGTAAAAGTGACCATTACTAGAAAAGTGGTTGATTTTGACACGTGTCTACAGACTCACAAAAGCTGGGTCTGAACTAGCAGGAGGAACAGCTTGCTTACTTAGTTTGGATTTACGAATTGCAGAATAGGAAGATTTTTGGCTCCATGAACCACGGGCACAAATCTGCTCTGTCAAATTTCTACACTCTGTGCTAACGGATCTCGCTTGACTTTGGGGATGATTTTTCAAGTTCAGGCAGTGACAGCTTTGGAACAAGGGCCTCCATAAATGGTAAAAGGCATTATGACAGCTGAGAGAAATGGCACCTAGCAGTGGCAGGCACCTTTTTTCCCCCCTCCAATATATATGGGGTGTCAGTGGAGCAAGACCAGTGCAGCAGTGCAGTGAGTGCTTTAATGTGCAAAATTGCAACTGCCTGTGCAAGAAATCACATTACACGTGATACAAGCCAACTAGTATCACTTGGCTCTTTTTACAGGAGTATAGCACTAAAAGGACAGCTTCACCTTCTGAAGAGACAGGCAAAAATAAAAACCCTCATTATGGAACAAGAATCCAATAGGTGTTGTTTTGTAAGTACTACACAGACACTCTTTTAGCATAATATGCAGCAGAATTCAAAACACTAAGCTGGCTCACATTTAATTAGAAATAAGAGCATTTTGGTGTTGATCTCACGGCTCACATGGGTGCTTATGTTGGTGGGGGTGGCAGGGGACGACGTCCCTCCAGCACGACTCATACATCTTCCAGTTCCTTTAATCTAAGTTTAAGGCATCAATCAGGACTTCATAGTAAAATTCACACTTTCTGTTCAAATGAAAACATTTTAGGCAGTCCCAGTCTGACAACCTCAGTGTGTGTAATTTCTCACCTTTCCTGCTCTTCCTTCCTGTCCTTTACCCGATATCTTTCCTTTTTCTTTCACCATGAGCTATTTCACTTGATTTGTGTCTTTTACTGATTCACCTCTGTGCTCTCCCCTTGGTCTCTTACTCACTCGCCTTAATTCTCTCTCGAAGCAGAAAAAAGACCCTGTTTTCTTTTCTCCTTTCTGAACAGCCTGTTCCAGGCTCTGAGACAGTGCAGAGGGGATCGTTCTTGGTACTTGATCCCCATGATCAAAACCACAGATTTTCCATTGTACTCAGCCAAGGCTCCATTGCTTTTAATAATACTACATTTCCTCTCTGGGGAATGTTACAGCCTGATAGGAATAGATGAAATCATGGCAGCAGCGGAGTTTCTAACAGTGCTTTCTGAGTGAGGATTATCTGATACTCAATGTAAACTTTTTTTAATATTTGTTTGTGCTTAGCACACTGAATTGAACATCGTTACTGCGAGGACCTCTCTTCTCAAGCAAAATAAAGATCTGAGAAATCCAGCTGTGAGACAAAAAGCTTTTGCACAGTTGACAGACTCCATTGTGAGTCCACATAAACAACTCCCTGTTAAACTAAACTAACCTTCATTTTGTTGTAGCATCATGTTTAACAAAAAAAAAGAAAAAGAGATGCCTTCAAGTCAAACCTACCTTGTGCTTTATTGTTAAGGGTTTTTGTGTGGTATTTTTAAGTATATTGTTTTCTGTGTTAGATTTAAACACATTTTCTTCATATAAATATATTAATGACAATTACGCTATTACAAAAAAAAAGCATGATCATTTTTTTTATGTTGCTGAGCTGAATTTAAAGCTAAAACAATCCATTTTAGATGTGTTTGTATGTTCTTGTAGCACTCTGAGGATGTGCAGTTCTGTGACCTACAGGAACTATCATGGTTACAACATTTTAAAATGGTAAATGTAAATGGTAAATGGCCTGTATTTGTATAGCGCTTTTCTAGTCCCTAAGGTCCCCAAAGCGCTTTGCACAACCTGTCATCCACCCATTCACACACACCTTCACACACACACAACATTTTAAGCATCAAACCCACAATGCTGCGCTCTCAGCTCTCTCCCTGCTCATGTGTGTTGAACAGGAGGGATTTGTGTATGTCGTGTTCGTGTGAATGTGCGCCAGAGTGAGCGTGCAACACAAGTAGCATTGCATATATATATGCGAGTCCCATGAGTGACTGAGCACAAGCACATTATATGAATGTACAGAGCGCACGTGTGTATGTGTGTGTGTGCATGTGTGTGTGTGCGTGTATGTGCACATTCTCTAAAGTGGCGCGTGTTTGTGTGTGTGTGTGTGAGAGAGTGTGGCATTTCATTATGTATGTGTATTCTCACATCTGCAAATCTGCACGTGCTGTAGTGTGTGTAGGTCTGACCGTGAGTGTGCATGTGTATGTTAGTACGCATGCGCAATCCCCCCAGCAGGGACAATCATCACGGCTCGTGCCCACAGTAGGCAGCCTTACCCTGAGGGTCTGTGACTGAGGCCTGCCTGACGAGATGCTGCCTGACTGACTGTGGAACCTGGATGATTGCCTCCTCCACATACACACGCGCACACACACACACGCACATACATATTAAATAAATGCAAAGATCCTTGCACAAAGAGTGCAAGATACAAGGAGCATGCACATTAACATCTGCACAGAGCTAAAAAAGCATGCACGGCTGCACAAATGCACACCCTGTGATGTACACCAGAAAATACACAAAGTGCATATTCTGGTCTACAACTTGTAAAATCCTTTGTTCTGTGTTCCTGTTTTAAGCAATCCATCAATCTTCTGCCTTGGAAAAGAGCTGGTCGGGAATATGTAAAACCTGCCAGTCCTGTCTCGGTATGTGTTCTCTTTTAGCAAGAAGGAAACTGTGCTCATTCAGTGTGGGTGTGAGAACACGTAGGTGTGTGATTAATTTTTCTGTGTCTAAAGTGTCCACATATGAGGCTCTGCATGCATGCAGGTCATCCCTGCACAACCCCGTGTGTGTATGGGTGTGGGTCAGTGTGTTGGGTACGTGCATGCGTTGTGACGGAGAATGTGTGCAGGTACATCCACTTGGCATCCGTGTCTGACTGGGCCACATTGTGTGAGGCCTGATGCTAAGCCAACATGACAGAAGCAAATAATGTCTGCTCCCGTTATCTTCTCTTTCCTCTCTGCCCTGCAGGAACCTTTTAAAGGGCCAAACACAGACGAAAGCCCACATGCATGTATGAAGTGCGCATGGAACATCCAAATATGCATTCAAAAAATGATGCACAAAAGTGCACATCTAACAAGAATACAAACTAAAAACATGTGCTCGGCCACAGCTGAGCATACTGTATTCTACTGAGATTTGGACAAAAATAGATCCATTAAATGCATAACCATTGGCTTTTAGCAGCTGCGCCAACTCAAATGCACAGCCATAGTTACAGTATACAAACACATATGACCCACTTCCTGTAAATATGACCTACTACACAACCAAGCTGCTGCTCCTTCTCGGGCTCTCCTTTAAATGTTTAATGAAGTCTTTCACATTGCCAGCTCACTTTACTATATGCAGGTTTCGATCGTTTTAAATGATTAATATCTGTAGCAGTTTTGTACTTTTGTTCTCTTCTCTTCTAAATAACCTGACCCCTAGCTACTTAACTGAACCCCTTGATCCATACAACACAAAGAGAGCACTAAGATCCTCCAGCCAACTGCTCCAAATGCAACCAAGGTCTCGTTTAAAAACCAGAGGTGACCGTGCATTTTCCATCGCTGCCCCTAGACTTTGGAATAATCTCCCAGTCGAAATCCGTACTTTGGAATCAATTCAGTCGCTCAAATCTCGTTTAAAAACCCACTTGTTTAACTTAGCTTTTGAAACAAATTAGTTTGACTTTCATTCGGCCTGCACTACACCATGTAAAT